GGCCCAAACTGCTCCTTCCTTTCTAATTCTTTTCTCACATCGTTTTTCATGTTCATTGAATGCCTAAGATATCTGTAAGAAGACAATCCCGCGATTGGACAGTTTTCTAATTCCATTTCCTGATTCTCCAAAAGGCGTTCGTCATAGACTCATTCTTCCTTCGGTTAATTCGCAGTTTTATTAGCTTCTTTGTTTCGTTTTTTTAACGTCTCTGCCTCGATATTCCTTGAGAGGAGAACAAGAGCCCAAACGTAGATTTGAGAGGTAGCTCCTTACAACTCCGACACCTCTCCCGCTCCAATTCATTCAATGTTTTCATTACTCACAGTGGCATACAGCTTTAGCGACCTAGTGTCGCCTTTCGACCCCCTTGGTAAGAGAGCTGAAAAGCTGTACCATCATCGATCAGTTCCTGTAGCAGTCGTCCAATGTCCTCACGACGGACCCACCCTTTGATCAACGAATGACAGTAGCATTAGTCTGAACGCTGTAAGCTATGTCGACAAGGGTAAAAGGAGAGGTGGGATACTCTCGGCAGACCTCGATAATCCTCGAAACCGTCTGGATATGGTCGCTAAATCCCTTACAAAATCCAGCTTGTCACGGGATGGGCTTTATCCACTTTAATATAGTAGTGATTACCGTGAAGAGCTGTAAAGCACGTTCAGCAGGCATTGGACAGACGATGTCCTCCAGATCGTAAGAAGTTTGCTGAAACGTGGTCTAATTGTGGAGCCGTGGCTGCTTTCATGGTCTGGACTGCGCGCGTGCTTCAGCAGACAGAACCGGTAGTGATATTTCTCCTATGGAAATGGGCTTTGACACTTATGTAGACGAACGAATAAGGCAGGTGTAGAACTTCTGACCAATTCTTGTGTCTGGAAGTTGAGCAAGTCTCATATTCGTTAAGTAACGTTGTCAGCACAATACGCTAATGAGAAGGTTTTGGCGGTACTTCTTTAGACTTCAGTTTTCTTCTTTGCGCTGCTTCGGAAATTCGATTGCTGTGCTTTCGAAAATCTTTTCGAAAGCTGCTCTGCAACTGGTATTGGCTAGTGGTCGCTGAGATCTAATCCATTCGGATGCAGCCTCTGGTCTCCTCCTCAAGAGATTCTTGATATCTTTCAAATTGTTCCGAGAAAAATTTTCTTCAATGCAGTGACAGCTCCATTTTTTCAGCCTTCGGCTGAGTTGCACTTCTACTAGAAGGAAAATATACCAAACCATCTGAACTCTTGATTGGTGAGAATGTGGTGTTTTCATTCTACCATTGGCCATTTCCATGTCCAAGTCAGTGTTCTTCTCCATGAAGATAGATTGTCATGAAAACGTGGGCGGGGGCCCAACAGGTTACCGTTCTCATTCCCAAATGCTGATCCAAATCTTCCAATTTTATGCTCTCCTTCTGGCATTCCGATTTTCGCATTAAGTCACCCAAAAAAATTTGTAGAACAAATCATTGCGGATGTCTACCTTAAACTTCATAAAAACCAACTAGTTTGAGAAATCAGCGCTGATGTTGGAGAACAATCGAGACAGTTCTGGTTTTTTGATGCAGGAGACGGAGCTGAAAGATAGCGAGGCGAGGTGATATCTCATGCTTAGAAAGATGCACAACAGATGGGTCTAGGACAGAACGAATGTCTCCAAGTCTTGTGATGGAACTTTCTCCTACGGATGATGAGTGTGCCATCATTCAGCTGCCTCACGTCCGTCTTCCTGGACTTTGTTTCGTGCAAGGCGATTACGTGGTAGTTGATGCGCCCTACAGCTTCGAGAAGGGCGTGAAGATCGGCGTTGGTGG